TGTTGGCATTCCAACCCGATGGTTGAGGGCCTGGGGTATTCCAACCCGATGGTTAATTGGACCCACAGTATGATGTTTGTGATTATATGTATATTGTTGTGTGTATGGGTATTTTAGGGGAACTTACTAAGATTTGTGCTTATGGTTTCAGTTTATTATTTCAGGCGCTTCTGATGACTCGGCAAGGCGAAGGCATGACTGTACACATCCTCGTGATTTGGACTTATGGTTTCTGGGATACTTTGATATAAAACTATTTTGAATACATTTTGTAATAACTAATGGCTTTTGAATGTTTGAAAAAGTTATAAATTGGTTTGATTTTTATGGGTGTTACAAATACATAACATAATCTAGTGAGCTAACATTAGTGCCTTCGACCCACGAGTATAGTGAGAAATCTGGCCTCAAAGTCTAGAAGATATCCCAACTGCTCACAAATCTAAATACCATCTTTACGGGTCACCTATACAACAAACAAGGACCAAGTATCAATCTATAGCTCAAAATACTCAGTTTGACCTAAACTAAAATTTGGTCAATGTCAACGGTAAACGGTCAACTGTCAAAAAGTCAACGTTCAACTTCAGTCGACCTATGCTCAACGCATCATGCAACTCTATGCACCGCATAGAGCTCAAGGCGATAAGACAGGAAATATCAGGGATACGCCATGCGTAAGGCAGATTACGCCCCACATAGCTCCCTGATGACTATCTTAATCATTAAGTCCTTAAAACAGTAGATCAACTCCTTATACTTTCAGATCTACACCCAAGGGACATCTTAATGGATAAAGTAACTGACTTTATCCATTTGCATAGTCACATAGAGCACACAATCAATACCTAAATCCATAAACTTGTCTATTGCTCAAGAGCTCATGCATGGACGGACGAGAGTGACCAAACTCTCATTTTTATGACTTAACAACCCTTAAAACATCTGGAAATGGAACTCCAATGGTCTAGAGTAGCTCATAATCATATACACCATGGTTATGGGGACAAAAGCATGAAGTTCTTAAGCATAACTAGATCTAACACAAATCAACATCAAGGTAGAAACTTTATACCTTCTGGAGATGGATGAGTGGATGCAAATCCTGGATCTACACTGGTTTGAGCTCCTAAGTGGTTCCATAATGCCCTCTTTCCTTCAGAAGTGAACACAAAGCACTCCAAAAGCTCAAAACTCACAAATGGTGATTAGGGTTTTCAAGGTGGTTGTTTGGGAGGGTCGAGGTTGAGAATGGAGAGGGCCTCAAGGGGTTAGAGCCTTTAAATAGGGTTCAAAACCCTAAGGATTAGGGTTTTGGTTCTGGGCTCCTATGCCATATGTAGCTCAATCTACGCCCTACGTAGATCATTTAACTCCCATGTCTATACTCCCTCCTATGCTTAGCGTAGGGGACTACCCTATGCCCAACGTAGGTTAAGGATTCTTGAAATTAAGCTTTTAAATAAAATAAAAATAATACCTCCAAGATCGGGTGTT